AAGGAACTGGGGCACACTCTTGGTGGGACCATCCCAAATAATCAGGATGTCGTCAATGTACCTGCCATAGAAAACTAGCCGATTTGCAAATGGATTGTTACTCCAAATGTGGAGTGCCTCCCAATGACCCATGGTTAAGTTGGCGTAACTGGGAGCAAAATTTGCCCCCATGGCTGTCCCTTGCATCTGCAAGTAGAATTTGCCCAAAAAAGAAAAGTAGTTATGTGTGAGGGCAAACTCTGTACAGTTCAAAATGAACTGTGCTTGACTGTGATTAATGAAAGATTTGGTAAGAAAATATTGCAAGGCATTTAAACCTACAGAGTGAGGAATGGATGTATATAGGGAGGTGACGTCTAATGAAATCCAACTGTAGGATTGGTCCCATTTGTAGGATGATAGGACTTGAAGGAGGTGTCCAGAATCTTTGAAATATGTTTTTAACCCCTTCCCACCAGATCCCTCTAGATGGGTGAGGTTTTTAATTACACCCAGTATTTGATGTTCTTTTAACATTAGATGCTTTTATCTCTCCAAAGAGTTTTTTTTAAATTCAATTAAGTATTTATACACACAAATACTCTAGTCTTAAATAAATATCTTTTATTTGTTCTCTATATATACACTCTTATTTTTGTTGTTGATCTCTTAATACACAAATTAAGCTCTTAGTTACCCCTGACAACTCTGCATAGAACTCAGGATAGTAGTAATAACAAAAGATGTGTTCTTTATGCGCCTCAGATGAACGTAATATGCTGCTTTTTAAATCGAGGGTGTGTATACCCACACCCTCCACAGCTCCACCTATCAGGAAAGCAAGATTGGTGCTGACTCCGCCCAGCTGTCACATTTAAAGTCCAAGTTTTTTCCTGCAATTCAGTTCTCCCCGTTTGATCTGAGCTTGACAAAGAGGCTCCGCCTCGAAACGCGTAGCTACTAACCCCGCACACATCGCTTGTTCGTTCCAACGGCGTTCGTTCCTTTCAATATCACCGCTTTGCCTTCTGGCCACCTGACATATAGCCAACTGCAGACAGCACTTCGGACACAGTGCCCACGGCCGCAACGACTCAGCCTGGCCAGCTGATCCCTTGAAGGAGGCAGCTGTCCTTCCACCGCAGCCCACGTCCTTACAGGCATCCAATTTACCAGACCACGGGGCACAGCCGGTTTGCACTCTTCCAGGGGCCCCACTGGATTTCCTCCCGCTGATGACATCTCAAATGTGAGTTCCTTCTAGTGCTTAGAACAGTAGTAGCGCTCTCAACACAGTTTTTTTATTGTTTACCACCGGGCTCCTCTCTCTGTTTCTCATAGAGCTTGCACACTGTATCCTCTGCCCCTATACCTTTTCTCCCACAAGTTTGTATTCCCTGGCAGTGCGCTTGTCCATTTGTTATTTTTATTTATTTATATATATATATATATATTGCAAACCACAATGCACACCCAAAATGTGTACAATTTGGGACTACAACAGACCTTTTTTTTGAACACGTGTTCCCATTCTCTAAGGAAAGATGGAGGGACCAGTAAAAACGGTCAGAACCTATACTTTTCTTGCACTGCTGTGACTCCCAGGAGTATTTAATGTTCACTGTATCTATTATTGGCTGTCTGAGGCTAGAGGAAAGTATGGGTTTTTGTTTTAAAACTACACAAAGATCCATTTGAGACATTATCTGTCTTTGATAGCATTTGTTGAATATGGTCGTAAGGCCCAGGTGGCTGTATATTCTCTGGGCTCCAATTTAGCAGAGTTTGGAATACCTCAACTATTCAATTGTAGCTCTTTAATATGCAGTTAAATTCCTTCCAAAGATATCATCTAGGGTATGAGTAATCTATCCCAAGGGTACTGTGAACAGTGACAATTGTACCTACACTTTTCAAGATCTGCGGCATCTGTGAGGCATTACAAACCTAAACAGTATTGAAGTTCAAACGTAAAAAGTGGATAACACTGATGTAGTAATTGTACTTGGACTGCCAATTGAATGTTCAAATGTGATGATAATTTGACTTTTAAACAAACAACAATGAATGCAGTATTTGTATTCCATGTGAGTCATATATATAGGTCGCAGCAATTGAACTTATAAACAAATGATGAATGCAGTATCTTTATTCAGTCTGAGTCATATATAGTTTGCATGGAGCTCTTATACAACTGTTGATGAATGTAGTATCTTTATTTCAACTGAGCTATACATCGACCACATTCATTTGGCTGATTGCATTTGGATTTCTATGTACATGTTTTTATAACCATATCACATATATGATTATACTGCCCCTAGATTTGATATCACTAGGGTTGATATTGTACCATGGTCCAGAGAACAGGTTTATATTAAGACCATATATACAGCATATAAATATGAACATAGAGCAATATTGGCCATGTGAAAAAATTGATGTCCGTTTTCTCTCTATACATAGTATTTGAGGTTGAAAAAAAGACACAGGTCGTTCAAATTCAACCTTTGTGTGAGTTGTGCATGCGTGTATATAAGTCCCTATGTGGTCTAGTATTAAGAGTACCTGTACCCCTGTATGTTATGATCTCTTAGGATGGTAGCTAAATGATTTTTGAACTAAACAATATTCTCTGCTGATACCACTGCTTGTGGCAGAGAGTTCCAAAATGTAACCGTTTTAACTGAAAAGAAGCCCCTAAGCCAGGGGTGCCCATAAGGTCAATTGCGCTCTACCAGCTGCTTGCAAAGCTAATGCTGGTAGACTGCGGGTCTGTGCAGTGTCAGACACATTGGTACCACCTATCCTAGTCTGCAGCGTCGGACATATTGGGACTGCCCCTCCCTGCCTGCGGTGTCTGACACACCAGCACGCCTGAAGAGCCAGGAGAGCCAGGAAGCAGGTAGTTACTACTAGAAACCTAAGTTATAATCTAGGCATGCACACACATGTATGCAGTTTTTTATGTGTCTGACTAATCCCACTTTCCCAGTCACCATTAGGGAAGAATGATTGGCTGTGTAGTATATTATATTAACCCCTATTAAGGGCTTGTTCACACCAATTACAGTGCGTTCCAGCGTGGTTAGCTGCTGGAACGCACTGTATCGCATACTAAACTCCCCCTGTGTTCTGGGGTAGGAGGGGGCCGCTCCAGTGCAATCGCAAAAAATGCTGCATGCACTATTTTTTGCAATCATACTGGACTGGGAACGCGGGCATTGTTGTGCCGCGTGTTCTAGTGCAGGCGATTCCACTGCAGGCGAGGGGGGAGGGAAGGGTGGCTGCAGGACCACTGACTTGAATGCACCACCACGCCTCCTCCAGCCCCAGAACGCAAGGGAATATAGTATGCGATATAGTGCGTTTTGGTAGATCTCATTGAGATAGTCATTTGAAAAGTAGATCTTAACACAAAAAATTGTGGGCACACCTGCCCTAAGCCGTTTGTGGTTAAATCTTTTCTCCCCCAATTTTAGGTGGTGGCCTCTAGTATTTTTTTAGGGAGTTTACTGTAAAACGTTTATTGCTGGTGTTGCCATCACCACCAAACATTTTGTACATCAAAATCATGTCCCCTATCAGTCTCCTCACTTCCAGTGGGAACAAGTTTAAATTTAGTAACCTTGTCTCATAGCTTTGTTCCTCCAACCCCTTAATTAGCTTTGTTGCTCTTCTCTGGACTCTCTCCAGCTCAAGGACATCTTTTCTGTGGACTGGTGAACAAACAAAACGGCATACTCAAGATGAGGCCGAACCAGGGATCTATAAAGTGGCAAAATGATTGCTTTGTTTCTAGAGTAAATTCCCTTTTTAATGCAAGACAGTACTTTGCTCGCTACAGCCTGGCATTGCGTGCTGTTATTCAATCTGTGGTCTACTATGCCCCCCAAAACCTTTTTCCATTTCTGAGTTCCCTAGTGGAGTATCCATTAATATGTCTTTTGATTGCAATTGTACTTTGAGGAACATTATTCTGAAATTGACGCAGCATTTCAGAGTGGTGAACCTCTGCCCATCTTTACTTCTGAGGCACTCTTGACTCCCTAAGATGCTCTTCTTATACTCAATCATGTCAGACCTGATTGTGTGTGTGTGTGTGTGTGTGTGTGTGTGTGTGTGTGTGTGTGTGTGTATATATATATAGAGAGAGAGAGA